ATTTTTTAATCCATGTGCCCCCCATCCCCCGTTGTCAGCAAAGCAATTAATCTTAATGATATTTCAGATGTACTTATCCATTTAAAAAAATGCTGCACTGCACCCAAGTGCAATCAGGTGATATGATTTGTAAATACGACCCCCGGGGGAGGGGTTTAATCGGTGTATGGTTATTGTTCACCCTCCTGTGTCCTTAATATGGACGTTTATTATTACGACTTTTTCCAATTTTAGATAAACCCTGAACACACGATTTGAACATCGTGTAAAAAAACATGCACGATTTTGTGATATATTTTGTAACATATCAATATATTAAGGAAACTGTCTTCTCACAATGACACGGTTCAATATAAGTTTTAAACTTGATCTTTATCCATTGCATATTTTTTCTGTTATGCCTGCTTGAAATTATCGAAAAACGTGATAAAAACATTTATTAGACTCCATGTTAGAAACAATCCGATATTTTGCAGGAAGAATAAAAATGCGCTTGCATGCCAAATGGATTCTCTTTACAAGACAGCTACGAATAGCAGCTTTCTACGTATTTTAAATATATTCCATTCATTATGATTATGGCGAAGATTACACATCCTCTCAAATCTTCATATTTTAAATTAAGTTTTGAATTATCATAATCCCGTCAATTTCTCTGATAACATAGAACAGCACTTGTGTGTTTTCTACATCATCATTTATACTCAACTGAAAATTAATTTTTATTTTAATAAAATCAAAATGAAAAGATGTAGGAAATGGAGTCCCTTAGGTCACTTAAGCCGTGTCGACTTGTCTAAAAAAATAAACCCCATAAACGTAAGGAAATCCTCATTAAATATTAACTGTTGAATTTTGCTTTTAATAAATTGAAAACACTAGTACTTTTTTCTAATTCATGTAAAAAATACAAATGGATTAATTGTTTTTGATGGTCTAATTATTTTACAGCTAAGGATTTTTAATTAAAAAAAAGTTTTCCCTATTTCACAAAAAATGTTTTGTTTGAAAACGTCTTTCAGCTAATGTCTATATGCAAACTTATAACAAACTTATAAGCACGGGGCTTTGTACCAGCATGAGTCAGGTATTTTTTTTTTCTAATTTTGCAAAACTAAATACTAGACCGGAAAGTAAATTTTCCGTAAATATCGACATGAAATAAGCAACGTGTCGGTAAATCTTCTTCATAATTCTTGGATTAATTATCGGCAATCAGGTGTTGAATCATTTAAAGTCAACATTTAATGTCTACTAGAATAAATGAAATATTTAACTTTTAAAAGAATTTATGGAATTATTTTCGGTACATTTCAATTTGAATCCATTGGTCAAAATTGTTATATTAGGATATTTTTCTATTAAAATAAAAACTTTTTTTTGGGGGGGGGATAATTTAATTTTGATTTTTATTAAATTTTTGAAAAAAGTGATAAATCTGTGCAACGAGAGACAGAGTCAAATATTTTGAATTTCTTTTATTTTCAGACCGCACAAAGTTAGAAATTGCAATGCATGCAGATCTAGAATACATGTAAAATCAAGAATATAAAATACTATTATTGGTCTACACTATTTTCATTTTCATTTAATTATACTTACAATTACTTTTAAAAAGTTTAGAAATAATATAAATCATTGTATATATCAAACTTTTTTAATTAGCTTCTGATTTTGATGTATATTCATTTTTCGCAATAGTTTATCAGTTTTATCTGATTGGGATAACATAAAACAATTAATTGAAAAAAAAAATCTTGATATAATAATTAGAATTTACGCAAATTGTATGAGTAAAAAAACTCCTTCATAGTTTTGTTGATATATCGCATATAAATTTATTCCCCTATACATATTCCTGACCGTTAACCCGAAAAGCCCGCAAAATAATGTCAAAGAAATTGTGACGTCGTTTTAATCTCGCAGTGACGTTATAATTTCTGTACACTGACGTCGCAGCCAGAGGGTTAAAGGAAGATGAGTGTCTAAGCTCGTCCTTTGTGCGAAACGGAAATGATGTAAGTTGCCTCGGGATCGATGCTGAATGCTGCCTTAATTTATAGATAAGCTAGCTCAAGGGGATGTTTCGCTTTGTGGCGCTCATGTTATCTATACAAATTTTTGTTATTTTAATTCACATTAATTTAAAACATAGGTTTCTGACGAGACGAAATATTCAAAGTGCATTTGCTCATATATCTTATATATTTAGGTGTAAGAGATTTAAAAGACTATATTTTTCTTTCCTCATCACAAGTGTACAACTTTAAATAGAAATGGTTAACCACGTTTGAAAACTAGCAGGGACTATATTTTTGGCGGAATGGTGGTGTTTGAAAATATCTTCTTATCTGCCTCTCAAAATATTTATAGAACAATGAATTTAGTTATAATTTTTACACAATCAAAGACTTGAAGATCTTTTCAAATGTAAGTTTAATTATTAATAAGCGACTAAAGTTTCTAAATATATCAAATAAATATGATTTTTCAGACAGACTAGAACAATGTAAGCTTTTATAACCTTCCATCTGAATAAAGACTTGAGCCAAAAATCCGTAAAAAGTATTTTATCTGTCTTAGTAAACGATCCAAACTTTTTGTTTTTGTATCATTGTGTATGTTTATGTGAAAACTTTACCATATGCGAAAATGAGAAAATTTAAATATAGGAAGCATAAAAAAAATAACTTATATACCCTAAAATTTTAAGAAAAGCAGAGAAAATTCGGATTAGCCATTATTCATTTTAGCTAAATTATTCATGTCAATTTGGTAGTATCATCTTAAAGGCCCTTAATGGCAGTCTATTTTAATGCAAAAAGTAACACATTCAGTCTTTCTAATTCAATACGTAAGGATCACATAATTGGCAACAGTATTTTTTTTATTATTATTAATGACTAGGAAAAAGGTAATGACCTTGACCTGACCTTGCCTCAAATGAAACGGTTAAATTTTATCTTAGTGGTACCATCAGTTAGTGATATTGTCTTCTTGATTCTGTGAAAATTTCATTGATTTTTAGATACAAGAAATATGAGAAGAATCCTACCTTAAGGTGCCAAACGCTTTTATTTTGTAGTTCCTTTATTCGGCATTTCATTTTTGCGAGTCCAAGTTATACTTTCAATGTGAGTAATCATTTCAACAGTCCAAGTCAACATACTTTCAATGTCAGTAATGGTGTCAGTAGACCAAATCATCCTACTTTCAATGTTAGTAATAATGGCAGTTGACCTATGCAACAGTTAGAGTCATTTTTTCTGTTGATCCTGAGTCTTATATTCAAGATAATAACTCGAACACAATTTCGGGCTTAGATTACACAAATGTTAATCGAGATCGGCCACGTGAACGAGAAACGAGTCTGTCTACTGCGCAACCGAGAAGCTCTACTCGGGTGCGAAATGAACCAGATAAATACGGTGAATGGGTAGTTGGGGAACAGTGTGCTGTGTAGGAGAAGAATGCCACAGGGGTATATGTATTATAGTTTTATGTTCTGGAATTTAGTAATTCACTAAGAAGACTTACTAAATTAATTTTATTGATGATCTGAATTATGATATACAGTAACTGTGTATTGTAGTTTTATGACAGTAAATTTAGTGAGTAGCTAAGATTAGTTACTTAGTTAATTTTAAGAGACTTATCATGTATTGTTTTTAGAACAGTGTACTGTAAACCAACTTTTATTCGCGTGCGAGAAATTTACTCGAAATTCGCGAGAGCCTCGACATCGCGAATATTTCATGTCGCGAACCGGTCCTTAAAGTGTATGTGTCTATTAACAGCAGACCTCAAAAGTTTTGATCGCGAAAATTAATCGTCGCGAACTTGTTCATCCCTGATTAATCGCGAAATAAAGTTGTCGCGAATAAAAGTTGGTTTACAGTATTTGATTTTACTTGGATTATGCTTGTTCTTTTGATTGATCATTAGCATTACAACTTATGTTACTAATGCATTACAGATCTTCTTGTTTACAGGAGTAGACGTTTCCAAAGATCAAGTGTCAAGTATTATTGTTTTAGATTTAACTGATTATTTTTATTTCAGATGTGACATTTCATATTTGAAAAGTCGGGAGACGTTTTTCTCTAAGAGGGAGAGAATGTCACAGGGTGAATGAAATAAAATTATAATAAATACTATATAATTTGTGTATTATAGATTTGTGACCTAATCTACTAATCATCATTTCATTAGCTTCATCATCATTTTTACCTATACGGCATAGTAAATTACAGTCCTCTGGAATTTACTATGTGTTAAGCTAGTTCATGAAGTCGCTCATTTTTATTCATGGGGTTGGTTGGTTTGAGAGTATGAAAGGTCAAAGGTGTTTGTATCAGAATGGGTGCAGCTTGAAGGTGTTTGATTGGTTGATATTTAAGTGTGAGAAGTGTGTGAGTGGTTTTACTAGTTTGGTACTAAATACGCATACTTGGCGCTAAACACCCCTAATAATTCACTCCACCCTAAGGCAGTCAGGAGAAAGGAAGAGTTTATCTCCTCTCCATATATACAGTCTTTTATTTAATAATAAAGACAACTTTATACCTGTCTTGTCGGTCACCTTCTAACTTATTATTCTTGTTATATTCATCATCAAAGTAATTGAAATAGAAATACAAAAGAACCCACCAGCCGTGTGTTGTTTATTGATGGAGTAATAGATATACTAGGGCTGTGACATATTTATAAGTTAATAAATAATAACAGTGTCGTATAATTTTTAACTACATGTATGCTAATATGTATATATGGTATAATTCAGTGTGTCTAAACCTTTTTTTTTCTGAATAAAATTACCCTAAAACAAAACACAAGGCTCTTGAGAAACATCATTTTGACATTTTATAATTTTACAACTGTCGCAGCACAAGATATTTAACTACATAATGTGTAGTATAATTAGTTTTGATGAACTGAAAAATGTTTAACGAGAGGAATTACAATTAAAGATTCATAAAGATTTTCTAAGTATAAAGTACCTGATATTCTCCAAGAGACTGAACCGAACATGGCAATTTGGCGGTTTTACCCTCCACGACTGTAATGTTGATAACTGGGGCAGCAAAAATCGGGCACGAAGCAAAAATATCTAAAGAAAAGTGTGAAAAAAACATTTTATTTGCATTTGTTGCAAAAATTCAGCTACATGCACTTTTTAAGCTCACATGATTTTTCGCACAATTAAGGTCACATTCTTCCTATTAAAACTCAACTTCAGGCTTTTTGAACTTCATTACGATGGCATAACCTCAACATTATTAAATGATTCATGTCAAAGGTACATGTCCTTTTAAATTATTATCTTAGGTTTATCAAAGTCAATTTTTTAAATGGATAACCATCTTGCGCTTTAGGGCCATATTAATGTACAAAAAATACAGAATGAATATTAGCTGCCTTGTGTCCGTGTCTAAGCAAGGCAAAAGTCTGCTTTTAAAAAACGGATACATTTGACGAGAAATCACATAAAAAATGGAGAACTGTTATAATATATCAGTTACGAGTCGCAGTTGCAGAACTCTAGCTCTCTGCTTGAGAAAATTCGGAGAGATAACGCAGAGAGCTACAAATCGATGCATTGTAAAAATCTTACAGTTTGATAAAAATATCTTGAATTTATTGTTTATTCAAAACTGATCTAGACATTAATTTTTAAAAGTGAGGTCAATGTCGAAAAAGTTGAAAAAGCTTGTATATACGTATTAATCATCATATGTATTTTGATTACAGAACTTGATCGGTTTCTTTTAAATTCAATTAAACAAAAGAAAGAAAGTCAATGTCTAATGAAAAGTTAAGGTAAAAAAAAGTGGATGCAGTTGGATGTTTATATCAGTATGCATCAACATATGAAGTTTGATAAAACTACGAGTATCTTGATTAAAATCTTTAAAACTAGCTAAACACTAGTTTAATATACATGTAAGTAAGGTCAAGGTTAAAGGAAAGGTCAAGGTAAAAAATGTTGATGCAGTTGCAAAGCTTTCCTCAATATTTATTGGCATATGTTTATAAAATTTCTTGAATAGTTTCTTTGAAACTGATTTTTAAACTGAGCTAAATGCAAAGCGCGATGGAAGAACAAAGAGAAGGGTGGAAGACGGACATGACAAACACTATACATGTATACCTCAGCCTGATCATGGCGTCACATAAAATGTTGAATCTACACTATATGAGGATAGTGTAGGTATTTCCATACCAAAATGACTGACAATGAAACAATATACAGTTAAAGAATATAATTAAGGGAGTTCGAGCAATTTTGTTTCCAGTTCTCGAAGACCAGGACTATTTCCCGAGGCGCAGCCGGTGAATGGTGACGTTTTTGCAGGAGTAAAAATTTCTCGGATGAGACGAAAAACAACATCCAAGTATAATCAATGATGAAAAAATCGGCAGATGAGTGTAAATTTACCGAAAATAGAAAGAAAATATGAAGATGGAATATAGCACAAGTACAGTTTTTTTTATACCGTAAAACAATGACTGGAATTAAACCTGGCGTTTCTTTAATTTGTTCTTAAACTGCCCTGTTCACACGAAGAGTTTAATTTGCAGTAAACTAATGCGAATCAAATTAATGCGAATTAAATTGCGCTCACACGACAGCTAATGCAAAGTAAATAGTGCGAATTAAAAACTTTCTTCTACAGTCAGCCTTCAGTACGTCTATTAGGATCATATATAAAATCAACATGGTTTGTAATAAAAACAGAAATAAAGTATTAGCCTTCAGACTTTTTGTTATATTTATCTTGTGTAAAAATATCGTCGTCATTTGTAAATCACGTCTTGTATACGTATACGTAGAGTCATCATGTAGTGGCTACAGGTATTCATTGATTTTAGTGATTAACATACTCTTCATCACTTTGTGAACCAAATATAGCACAAACACCATATATAACTACCAACACGTGTCCTGTGACTTAATTCTGGCCATGCGTCAAAATTTAATTCGAATTAGCTTCCCTTAGCGTTCAAACGGAGCTAATGCAAAGTAATTTAATGTGCAGTAAATTAATTCGAATTCAACTAATTAGCATTATATTCTCCGTGTGAACGCTAAGCGAAGCTAATTTGCAGTAACTTTACGTTTAATTCGAATTAAACTCTCCATGTGAAGAGGGCATAAACACCAATTAAATGTTAAAATGATGAAATATAACTTGATCACCTCATATAAAATCAACATGTCCAGTTTGTAATAAAAACAGAGCTCAATAAAGTATTAGCCTTCAGACTTTTTGTTATATTTATCTTGTGTAAAAATATCGTCCTTACCCTTACACAATAGGGTCAAACTAAATGTGATCCACCACACTAGATCCTCGCCCATATCTAACAATGATAACCGATCCCACTGTCACAGCAATTCCACTTCCATCAGTTCATGCAGGTGCGTAGCCAGGCGTACGTTTGTACGCAAAAACGTCCACATCATTTTAGGGAAAAGAGGAGAGAGGGAGAGGCAGGCGAAATTTTTATGCTCTTAAATCATTTTGCAATAAATAAATACTTTTAAAAATAAAAGAAATGTTTAGAAACAATTTAATAAATGATAAATGATATCTGAAATTAACAGAATCAGTTTTAGAGGATAAAATGATACTGTACATGTAGTCGGCATCTCTATTTCTGAAATCATTAGATTTTCCTTGAATCTGGTTTACGTATTGCTGATTTTTTTTTTCTGTAAGTGCATTACATTCTCATATACATGTACCACTCCAACCGATTAATTTATCATAAGTATTTTGTCTCTTCAAAATTCTAAAATTGTTTTAAGTGGGCTCTTCATATAACATAAACAACGATACAATGTATTGGACATATCCTTTCTTATTTTAGAGTGTTTGTCCATATTTCCTACAAAAACAAAACAGGCCTCGAAAACATGGGTGCATAGCAAACTTAAAAGTTTAAGAAAAATGCGATCAGGAGGGTCAAATATGCTCATTTAAATTCAAAAGTCGGGGGATCGGCCTTGGATCCTCACCATGCAGGGCTTAACCACGGATCCATAGGGGACATTAGGCCCCCAAACCCCCTGCCTGCTCTTGCGTCCACTTCATTAGTGACCTGGCTACGCCACTGTCATGCTCTCCTACATTGAGGTTTACAGTTTATGATTCTGGTCGGTTAACATTCCGGATTACAACACTTTTAATACAATCTGACAAACACAGAGAAAAGAGCACTGTGTGTTCCCAGATCGAGCGCCCCGCCTCTCGCACTATTGTTCAGTTTCTAATGGCGATTGACCAATGAACGGGCACCTTTCCACTGTGTACATAATTCAGGTCGAAAACAATTTTTTTGACTTGCTACATGCACTTTTTAAGCTCACATGATTTTTCGCACAATTAAGGTCACATTCTTCCTATTAAAACTTAAATTAAGGCTTATTGAATAACCTCAACATTATTAAATGATTCATGTCAAAGGTACATGTCCTTTTAAATTATTATCTTAGGATTGTCAAAGTCGATTTTTTAAATGGATAATCATCTTGCGCTTTAGAGTCGTATTAATGTACAAAAAATACAGAAGGAACATTAGCTGCATTGTGTCCGTGTCTAAGCAAGGCAAAAGTCTGCTTTTAAAAAACGGATACATTTGACGAGAAATCACATAAAAAATGGAGAACTGTTATAATATATCAGTTACGAGTCGCAGTTGCAGAACTGTAGCTCTCTGCTTGAGAAAATTCGGAGAGATAACGCAGAGAGCTACAAATCGATGCATTGTAAAAATCTTACAGTTTGATAAAAATATCTTGAATTTATTGTTTATTCAAAACTGATCTAGACATTAATTTTTAAAAGTGAGGTCAATGTCGAAAAAGTTGAAAAAGCTTGTATATACGTATGAATCATCATATGTATTTTGATTACAGAACTTGATCGGTTTCTTTTAAATTCAATTAAACAAAAGAAAGAAAGTCAATGTCTAATGAAAAGTTAAGGTAAAAAAAAGTGGATGCAGTTGGATGTTTATATCAGTATGCATCAACATATGAAGTTTGATAAAACTACGAGTATCTTGATTAAAATCTTTAAAACTAGCTAAACACTAGTTTAATATACATGTAAGTAAGGTCAAGGTTAAAGGAAAGGTCAAGGTAAAAATGTTGATGCAGTTGCAAAGCTTTCCTCAATATTTATTGGCATATGTTTATAAAATTTCTTGAATAGTTTCTTTGAAACTGATTTTTAAACTGAGCTAAATGCAAAGCGCGATGGAAGAACAGAGAGAAAGGGTGGAATACGGACATGACTAACACTATACATGTATACCTCAGCCTGATCATGGCGTCACATAAAATGTTAAATCTTCACTATATGAGGATAGTGTAGGTATTTCCATACCAAAATGACTGACAATGAAACAATATACAGTTAAAGAATATAATTAAGGGAGTTCGAGCAATTTTGTTTCCAGTTCTCGAAGACCAGGACTATTTCCCGATGCGAAGCCGGTGAATGGTGACGTTTTTGCAGGAGTAAAAATTTCTCGGATGGGACGAAGAACAACATCCAAGTATAATCAATGATGAAAAAATCGGCAGATGAGTGTAAATTTACCGAAAATAGAAAGAAAATATGAAGATGGAATATAGCACAAGTACAGTTTTTTTATACCGTAAAACAATGACTGGAATTAAACCTGGCGTTTCTTTAATTTGTTCTTAAACTGCCCTGTTCACACGAAGAGTTTAATTTGCAGTAAACTAATGCGAATCAAATTAATGCGAATTAAATTGCGCTCACACGACAGCTAATGCAAAGTAAATAGTGCGAATTAAAAACTTTCTTCTACAGTCAGCCTTCAGTACGTCTATTAGGACGTCATTTGTAAATCACGTCTTGTATACGTATACGTAGAGTCATCATGTAGTGGCTACAGGTATTCATTGATTTTAGTGATTAACATACTCTTCATCACTTTGTGAACCAAATATAGCACAAACACCATATATAACTACCAACACGTGTCCTGTGACTTAATTCTGGCCATGCGTCAAAATTTAATTCAAATTAGCTTCCCTTAGCGTTCAAACGGAGCTAATGCAAAGTAATTTAATGTGCAGTAAATTAATTCGAATTCAACTAATTAGCATTATATTCTCCGTGTGAACGCTAAGCGAAGCTAATTTGCAGTAACTTTACGTTTAATTCGAATTAAACTCTCCATGTGAAGAGGGCATAAACACCAATTAAATGTTAAAATGATGAAATATAACTTGATCACCTCATATAAAATCAACATGTCCAGTTTGTAATAAAAACAGAGCTCAATAAAGTATTAGTCTTCAGACTTTTTGTTATATTTATCTTGTGTAAAAATATCGTCCTTACCTTTAAACAATAGGGTCAAACTAAATGTGATCCACCACACTAGATCCTCGCCCATATCTAACAATGATAACCGATCCCACTGTCACAGCAATTCCACTTCCATCAGTTCATGCAGGCCCGTAGCCAGGCGTACGTCTGTACGCAAAAACGTCCACATCATTTTAGGGAAAAAAGGAGAGAGGGAGAGGCAGGCGAAATTTTTATGCTCTTAAATCATTTTGCAATAAATAAATACTTTTAAAAATAAAAGAAATGTTTAGAAACAATTTAATAAATGATAAATGATATCTGAAATTAACAGAATCAGTTTTAGAGGATAAAATGATACTGTACATGTAGTCGGCATCTCTATTTCTGAAATCATTAGATTTTCCTTGAATCTGGTTTACGTATTGCTGATTTTTTTTTCTGTAAGTGCATTACATTCTCATATACATGTACCACTCCAACCGATTAATTTATCATAAGTATTTTGTCTCTTCAAAATTCTAAAATTGTTTTAAGTGGGCTCTTCATATAACATAAACAACGATACAATGTATTGGACATATCCTTTCTTATTTTAGAGTGTTTGTCCATATTTCCTACAAAAACAAAACAGGCCTCGAAAACATGGGTGCATAGCAAACTTAAAAGTTTAAGAAAAATGCGATCAGGAGGGTCAAATATGCTCATTTAAATTCAAAAGTCGGGGGATCGGCCTTGGATCCTCACCATGCAGGGCTTAACCACGGATCCATAGGGGACATTAGGCCCCCAAACCCCCTGCCTGCTCTTGCGTCCACATCATTAGTGGCCTGGCTACGCCACTGTCATGCTCTCCTACATTGAGGTTTACAGTTTATGATTCTGGTCGGTTAACATTCCGGATTACAACACTTTTAATACAATCTGACAAACACAGAGAAAAGAGCACTGTGTGTTCCCAGATCGAGCGCCCCGCCTCTCGCACTATTGTTCAGTTTCTAATGGCGATTGACCAATGAACGGGCACCTTTCCACTGTGTACATAATTCAGGTCGAAAACAATTTTTTTGACTTGTAAATATTTCAGCTTTCTGTGTTTACATAAAATGCAATACAATATATTTATATCAGTTCATAAATAAATACATTGTTACAAAACAGTATTGCATCTTAATACCCTCCCTCCTAAAAAATAGACATTTTTCATAGCACATGCATGTAAAGCTTGAGCATTGTATGCTATGAATATGTAATTTTTTCCATGGAAAAAAAGATGAAATTAAATTTGGATTGGATTATAATGCAGGCAGTAATTTTAAACATTATATTTGTTACTTGGTTGGTTCTTTTCCACTTTTAAAGAAAGATTTTGGCTCAACCAAAATTATGACCATAATTAACATTTCAAGTTATGTTGATACAATGTAGTTATTTCAAATATATTTGTTACTTGGTTGTTTTCCAATTATACTGAAAGCAAAAGAAACGCAACAAGCAATAATCTACAAATGATTTTCAAAAATGAATCCAGTAAGGCTATACTCACTAATCAAAACGTCAGAAATTGGCTAAAAATGTTAAATGATTACCTATTCTTTAACTTTAAAAAGTACCAAATGACTGTTAAAACACCTCCTCCCCTCCCAGACAGTCAATTAAAGCGTTCGAGACTGCCCTGCACAAAATTGCAGCTTCGATGCAATAGGTTCATCATTATAGAGGTCTGAGCAAAGAAAGTATTCTTTGGCATTTTTAAATGCCTGTTTTCAGATGATATGGTCGAATTTTCTTTATCCTAACGCAGTGTAGAAACACGTCAACTTCCAATCTTTCAAATTTGGCCTTATGAGTTTATCATTATTGCTTAACGTACATCCTATATCTCAATTCAACAATAACATACAATATATAAAAGTTAAAATGTAGTCATAAAGTACGGTATATAGATTTAAACAGTTTTCCTGCAATAGATTTGATATGCTGCGAAAATACTGATGATATTTTAATTCACGTATTTTAATAGGATTTTCGTGTTTTTAATAAGTTATCAAATATAACACATGAATTTTATCTCTTTTTTCAATAACGGTGATAGAAATATACACCAAACTACTAAGGAGGTGTGGGCAGAGTCTTTTCAGACAATGTTCTTTTTATATCTGTTGCAAGCCACTATATAGCCCTTTGTTTAATTTTCTTCGTTATTTGTTTATTAAGAACATGAAAATGGATGTAAAATATTTGCATTCACCTCATACAAAAAAGCTTTTTTTATTTAGACAAATATCATATCTTGATACTTGTTTTACGTAATGGCATACTGTTATCTGTTTGCAGTGTTATATAAGTTCCGATATGCCGGGTGTTTGTATGAAGAACAAAAGAACGTTATTTGCTATAGTCGACCGAGACATTTTACCATTTTCCAACTACAGTTTTTTTCTACTAGTTCATTATGTTTTGTTTACAGCGAGATATCTTCTTTCTACTTAAAAAAATATCACCACTTACTGTCCTTTTTTGGCTTTAGGTTCTTTAAAATATTTTTAGCGGTA